TGCTGTGCCTGAGACTCCACCTGTTTTTCCTTCTTCTCTTTGGCAGCAGAAACTGCAGCGTCGAGGTTCTGCAGGACATCCTTCACACGTTTGGCAGCAGCTTCCGCATCCGTCGCATGACCTCCAGTTTCATGTACCACTTGGCGTGCAGCATCAGCTGCTTGGATGGCCTTTTCAACAGTTGTTTTCATATCACCCTGTACCAGTTCACTAGCAAACATTGCCTCGTTTTCAGTTTTAGTTGCTTTGTCTGTAGTTCTGTCGGCCACTTCTCTTGCTTTCTCTGCAGCCTCCTTTGCCGTTTTGATCAGTTCACCACCTTTCTGCTTCTTTTCTTCCACTTCTTTTGGGTTTGCAGCGACAGTCTCGAGTTTGCCCTCAATTTGAGAAACAAATAATAAAGCATCTNGTGGAAAAGAGAAACAAGAAGGAAGAGAAAAAGAAAGATACATACATAGTGAGTGGATACAGGAAATAAATAGTAAACCACAAAGAAACTCACATTACGAAAAGGAAAAGCTACCAGTTAAAGAATGCAATACAGCGCAATAACCTTAGTAAGAGTAAAAACAGAAAAAAAAAAAGAACACACTCACAAATACCTCAAAAAAAGGCTGAACCGCCCAGCAAAATCATCAAGCAAAAAAACACAGATATTAACCATTAGCCCAATTTACCCAGTACACACAGAAATATACACCAACTATGGGTCTAATTCTATATGTGTATATATACGCAATTATANTAGCCAGCGTATCTGCTTTCTCCACCATTCTACTGATATGTGCTTGAGCAGCTTCAGTTACCACACCCACACAGCAGAGCACAACGGCCAACACAAACATCACACGGCGCATCATCATCATAACGGTCATCTTCACTCTTCTTCTTGTTGTTCTCGTCACTTGAGTTCACAGGTCTTCACAGGGAGTGTGNCCAATTTACCCAGTACACACAGAAATATACACCAACTATGGGTCTAATTCTATATGTGTATATATACGCAATTATAAATATAAATTCATCTGTTATTATTATTTACTTTCCCACTGCAAAAAGTAGTTCATCTTCATCATTATCATCATAGTGCAAGCCCAGGTGCACACACACACACAGAGAGTCTCCAAGAACACACGCACACACACACAATGGAGTAGTAGCAATAATAATTATTATAGGATAAACACAGAGAGAGCAAAAACACACACAAAACACATTAACATTAAGAAACAAAAAACGAAGATAATTTCAACAGGTGAAAAGATTAGTTAGACTGTAGTGGGGATGTATGCAAAAAAGAAAAAGAAAACAAAGGATGACCTGAGGCACACCACACCACACCACCATTACAATCAGCACACAAGAATACAGGCCAGTGTAACCACAATCAGTAGTGGTACACGCACCCACACAGAACTGCTGATACTGCTGCTGCTGTCTGCATCACCCTTCTTGTTGTTTGTCAGTTCAGGAGAAAGTGTTGTTGTTGTTGTTGTTGTGGTGGTGGTGGTTGATTCTTCATTAGCTGGGTTACTTGTTGATTCACCCCCTTCAGGTGTACTGCCACTCCCAGTGATTGCATTCTCAGAACCAGCTGCACTCTCGTTGGTTAAACTGCTTGTAGAAGATGGTTGTATTGCTCCACTTTCTTCTGGTGTACTGTCTCCAGCTTGACTGTCACCTGCAGGCGCAGTCTCTCTCCCTTCAGTAGGTGTAATAGAGGTAGTAGATGCAGTAGAAGAAGGAGCAACAGCATTATTAGGAGGTTCAGAAGAAGAAGCGGCACTATGATCGTAATTGTTGGAGTCACTACTATGTGTTGCTGGGTTCTGTCCGCTCGGAGCTGATGGTCTATCTACAGCATTACCTGGGGGCTCTCTATCAGTAGCAGGAGATGGTGGAAGAGCAGGCTGAGTTGGTTGTGTATGTGGGGTTTCTGAAAGTAAAGAAGAAGGTTCACCTCTCGTCAACTCTGGAGTAGCCACGTCTCTTTGTTCGTTACCTTGACGCTCTGGAGACACCATTTCCGTCTTCGTTTTTTCTGCATCACCATCTTTTTCTAAAGGAACTCCTTGTAATTTATCTTTATCCTTTCGTTCCAGCCGTTTGGGTTTCTGCTTACCAACTGGACCAACAGAAGCAGGTCCGCCTATCTCAGATTCATCATTTTCATCCGTTTCCTCCAATTCGTTCACTTCGTCATCATAGTCAAGCCAATCATCACTTACAGGAATAGCACGACGAACAAGAGAAGGAACACCAACAGTTGAAGGTTTAATAAGGACATCAGAAGCTTTAGGACTATCAGCCCATACTAACCCACAAGCACAACAAAGTGCAAGAGTTAATAAACAGAGCAGGTAACACTTTACCATTACAGCCTTTGTCATTGTTGTTGTTTACTTCAATAGACTAATACAAGAAAGAAAAAGGCAGAGAAAGAATTATGATAGAAACAAACGAACAAACTCCAATACAACAAATACTCACAGTGAGAGAGAGAGAGAGAGAGAAGCAACAACAACACAGTAAAGCAACAAAAAAGAATATCCCGCTTGTATAATATTAATATGTATCCATTAGTAGAAAAAATGAAAAAGAAAAGATCCCACAATACCCAAATAAGAGAGAGAGCCAAACACATACACAATACCTCATGGCTCTAGTTTATGTATTAAATTACTGCACGCACACATCTGTGTGTACTAGCAAGAGATGTATACCGTCAGTGAACAGAACAGCCCAGTTTTCTGCAAACACACACAACGGGAAAAGCAAGTAATGGAATTATTAGAAAAAGAACACACACACACAAAAGTAAAAGTAGAAATTCGAATTAAAAGAGAAAGCTTGTAAACAGATTATTAGTTTATTTATTCACCCATGGGGGATGTACGCAAAATATGATTATATTAGTTTAACCATTATTATTATTTGCTCTCAGATGAGTCCCACCGTTCAGTACACAGTAACAGAGACCAACACAACCACAATCAGCAGCGGTGCTGCAGTGCGCATCCACACAGAACTGACACTGCTGTCAGCATTAGCCTTGTTCTGTACGGTGGAAGTGATGGTGCTGATGTCTGCATTGGGTACAGGTGCAGGAGGAAGTGTTGTTGTTGTTGTTGTTGTGGTGGTGGTGGTGGTAGTGTTTATGTTGGCCGTTGAGTCAGTATTGGTTTTCTGTTGTGAACCTTCTGTGGAAGTCGTACCTTCAGATGAAGGTTCCTGGGTAGTATTAGAGTCACCAGGTGTACTGGAATCCACTGTCTGATTTGATTCAGCTTGGGTCTCTTGTTGAGTTCCATTTGTCTCTCGAGTTTGACTTTGTTCCCCAACAGTTGGAGTGGCTCCGGATAATGACGAACTCTGGTCCACTTGAGGGGCAGAAGTATCAGAAGCACTGAGACCGTCTTTTCCAACTTGGGTGGACGGAGGAACGCCAGGTGGTACTCCCTCTCCCTGAATTACTGCCCTCCCACTATCTTGTGTTTCTTGTGAATATGTTTCTGTGACTGTAGAGAGTGTTTGTTGGGTACGACCCTCTTCCTGTGCCGGCTGAACTGGTCCTTCGTGTGAAGCCGTTTCTCGTGTCCCAATAGAACCACTTCTGGTACTCAAGTGAGAACTTCCAGTAGAGGGTGACACAGTTCCAGCCCTATCATGCAAGAGAGCTGTAAAGACATCACCTCTACCTTCCGCTGCCAAATCAACAGCTGTCCCATTAGGTTCATTCGTAAACGCGTTAGCTTCCATGCAGACAGAGGCAACACTCAACAGAAAAACCAACAAACACACAAAGGGTCGCATAATCATGGCAAGAGTAATTTTTGGTTGTTTTACGTCACTTTGTTAAAGAAAAGTGAAAGAAAACACAGAGAGAAAAAGTGAAAAAAAAGATCCCATAGAACAGAAAGAAAAACAAATGGTGGTCAAACACAACACAACAACATGAACAGTCACACAAAGCAACACTACCAGTATAAACAATAAAGAATCCAATAAAGAGGCACCACATAAAAAAAAACCCGAAAAAAAAGAAGTAATGCAAAAAGAAATTAAAAGCACAACCAAATGCCCAACTAAACATACAACAACACAGACGACTGGGTATGCTGATGCTTAAAAGCAATCATAAAAGTGTGTGTAACAATTACTGTTTTTTTCTTTTGTCTATTCAACGTAAATCACTGTAAGAGTGAAGGGTAAAGCACAAAAAGAACCTAGCAAAACACAAACAAAAAGAAATTAACCATTAGCCCATCGTACCCAGTAAACACAGAAATATACACCAACTATGGGTGTAACTCTATATATGTGTATATATATGCAATTATAAATATAAATTCATCTGTTATTATTATTTACTTTCCCACTGCAGAAAGCAATTCACCATTATCACAGTGCATGCCCAGGTGCACACACACACACAATGGAGTAGCAATAATAATAATTATAGGATAAACACGGAGAGCAAAAACACACAAAACACATTAACATTAAGAAACAAAAAAAGAAAGAAGAATATCCCAACAGGTGAAAGATTAGTTAGACTCTAGTGTGGATGCATGCAAAAAAAAGAAAAAGAAAAGAAAACAAAGGATGACCTGAGTCACACCATCACTACACAATCAGCACACAAGAATACAGGCCAGTGTAACCACAATCAGTAGTGGTACACGCATCCACACAGAACTGCTCATACTGCTGCTGCTGTCTGCATCACCCATCTTGTTGTTTGTGAGTTCAGGAGGAAGTGTTGCTGTGGTGGTGGTGGTGGTGGTAGTAGTGGTGGTATCTTCAATTACCGCATCACCTTCTTGGTTGTTTGATGACACACTCCCTGAAGAGGTAACGTCACTCTCAGTATTTGCAGCATCAGAACCGTCAGGATTCTTTACTTCGGAATTGTTGGGAGAAGTTTCAGATGTTTTCTCAGTTGGAGCAACAGAAGTTCTGTTACTGTCAGTACTTCCTGTCCCTTTTGTTGTGTCCACCGTATTTGTTGGAGTGTGGGAATCCTGAGTGGCTGCACCTTGTTGTTGTTCTTGTTGTTGTTCTTGTTGTTTTTCTGGCAATTCGGGCAATTGCGAACCCCCTTGGCCACCAATATTGGATACCCGTTCAGGTGACGTTTCAGTCTGGCCAGCAGTTACCTTTTCTTCCTTGCTTGTATCGCCTTCTTTCTTTGGTGATCTTGTCAATTGGTCTTCTTCCTGTGTTTTTTCTTGACTCCTACCCATTTGAGAATTCTCAATTCTCTTCATCAGGTGATCTATTTACCGCACTTCCAGGATCCCTTGAAAGACCTGGTGTATTTGCTCCAAAATCGGGACGAGAATTGGAAGAACCTGGAGGAGGAGGAATCTGTTGCTTGACTGGGTCCACTTGAGAGAAAACAGAAGAACGTTCAGAACCATGAACCTTGGTAACATTTGATTCGTCTACATCTTCGTCCTCATCTTCATGCAAAATCTCAAGCCCAACACCATCCTCCGCAGGTATAGCACGCCGAACAAGAGAAGGAACACCAACAGTAGAAGTTTTAACAAGGGCATCAGAAGCTTTAGGACTATCAGCCCATACTAACCCACAAGCACAACACAGTGCAAGAGTTAGTAAACAGAGCAGGTAACACCTCACCATTACAGCCTTTATCATTGTTGTGTTTTATTTCAACAGACTAATACAAGAAGGGAGTGAAAAACAGAAACAAACAAACATACAGCAATACAACAAATACTCACGGTGGAAAAGAGAGAGAGAGAAGCAGTAACTGCACAGTAAAGCAAGAAAAAGGAATGGTCCGGTTGTAGTGATAATATGTACTCATTAATAGAAAAAGAAAAGACCCCACAGTACCCAAATAAGAGAGAGAGCCAAACACACACACAATACCCCATGGCTCTAGATTATCTATTAAATTACTGCACACACACACACACACACATCTGTGTGTACTAGCAAGAGATGTATACCGTCAGTGAGCAGAACAGCCCAGTTTTCTGCAAACACACACAACGGGAAAAGCAAGTAATGGAATTATTAGAAAAAGAACACACACATAAAAGTAAAAGAAAAGATATTCCAATTAAAAGAGAAAGCTTGTAAACAGATTATTAATTCATTCACCCATGGGGGATGTACGCAATTATGATTATGTTAGTTTAACCATTATTATTATTATTATTATTATTTGTCCTCAGATGGCTCCCACCGTTCAGTACACGGTAGCGGAGAACAACACAGCCACAATCAGCAGCGGTGCTGCAGTGCGCATCCACACACGACTGATACTGCTGTCAACATTTCCCTTCCTCTGCACAGTGGAAGCGATGGTGTTAATCTCTGCGTTGGGTACAAGAGATGGTGGTGGTGGTTGGTGCTTCTGTGGTAGTATTAGTGGTGGTGGCTGTTGAATCAGCATTACCATTCTCTTGTGAATGTGTTGCGTTAGTTGTACTTGCCTCTGCAGGAGATGCTTGCTCGGTAGGATTAGAATCGCCTGTTGTAGTGTTATCCACTGTGTTATTTGATGATCCTGGGTTACCTTGTGTAGGTGGATTCGACGGTGGAATTTGGTTTTGTTCTGTGGTCGTAATAGCTCCGTCTACGTTGTTACTCCTGTCCACTTGAGCAGCAGAAGAAGTATCAGACGTACTTTCACCACCTCTTCCATCGTGGGTGGGTTGAGAATCGGCAGCTGGTTTTAATTCTTCTTGATACCTGCTGTTCCCAGCATCTTGTTCTTGTCGTGAAGATGTTTCTAGATTAGTAGGGTGTGAGTCTTGTGTATGAGTCACTTCCTGTGTCGGCAGAACTGGTGCTTGGAGATAGCCCTGAGCTTCTCTCGCAGGAGACCCACTGCTGGAACCAGAGGAAGAACTTCCATCAGAGGATGAGCCAGATCCAGCCCTGTCATACAAGAGAGCTGTAAAGACATTAACATCACCTGTAACAGTACAAGTACCAGAATTACCAGAAGTACACTTAAAATCACCATCAGCAGCTGTCCCATTAGGTTCATTCGTAAACGCGTTCGCTTCCATGCAGAGAGAGGCAACACTCAGCAGAAAAACCAGAAAACACACAACGGGTAGCATCATCACAGAAAGAGTAATTCCTTGAAGTTTAACGTCACTTTGTTAAAGGAAAAGGGGACAGAGACAAAACGTAAAAAAGATCACATACAATAGAAACAAAAAAACAAATGGTAAAAAAAAACACAAAAAATCAACAGTAAACATAAAACAAGACTTCCAGTATAAAACATAAATAATCCAATAAAGAGGCACCACTAAAAAAAAAAAAAAAAAACCTCAACAAAACAAGAAAAAAAAAGAAATTAAAAGCACAACGAATGCCCAACAAAACATACAATAACAAAGAAGACTGGGTATGCTAGTGCTTACAAGCAAAAATAAAATTATATGTAACAATTACTGTTTTTTTCTTTTCTCTATCCAAAGTAGACCATCAGAACAATGCAGGACAAAGCACATAAAGAACAAACAAAAAAAAAAGCAAATCACAAGAAAACAAAAAGAAATTAACAATTGAAAACAACACACCCAGTAAACACAGAAATATACACCAACTATGGGTGTAAGTCTATAGATGTATGTATATACGCAATTATAAATATAAATTCATCTGTTATTATTATTATTATTTCCACTACAAAAAACATTTCATCATCATCATTACAGTGCAAGCCTAGGTGCACACACAGAGAGTCTCCAAGAACACACACACACAATGGAGTAGCAATAATAATTATTATAGGATAAACACACAGAGAGTAAAAACACACACAAAACACATTAACATTAAGAAACAAAAAAAGAAGAAACTCCCAACAGGTGGAAGATTAGTTAGATTGTAGGGATTGCATGCAAAATAGAAAAAAAGAAAACAAAGGATGACCTGAGTCACACCACACCACCATCACAATCAGCACACAAGAATACAGGACGGTGTAACCACAATCAGTAGTGGCACACGCACCCACACAGAACTGCTGATACTGCTGCTGCTGTCTGCATCACCCTTCTTGTTGTTTGTGAGTTCAGGAGGAAGTGTTGTTGTTGTTGTAGTAGTAGTAGTGGTGGTGGTTGATTCCTCATCATTAGTGGGTGTGTTGGGAGAGTCAGAGTTCGTACTCGTTGAGTTATCGTTCTCAGTTGTATCGTTTTGTTGTTGAGATTCCAGTGAAGATAGTGTCTCTTCCTGCTGAGAACGGTGTTCTTGAGTGTCAGTATTAACAGTACTGGATATAGTGGAAGAATCAGATTTTGCTTCTTTTTCACTTTTCCTCGTCTCTTCTCCTTGTTCACTTCCTGGAGCATTCGCTTTCTCTTCTGTTGTCTTCTCTACTTTTGGTTTATCCCCACCACCTTGATCATGACCAGTATTGACAGAAACAACTTGGGATCCATTATCATTTATACCTCTCCCTCCTTGTAGTGAAACTGAAGTAGTTTGAGCGGTAGATGGTTGAGCTTCATTAGCACGATTGGTTCCTTTCTGACGTTCATTCTCAGCCACACCTTTAACAAGAAGGGTGTTTTCAGAGTCTTTATTCTTTTCTTTCTCATCTTGATGATTTTCTAAATTTACCTTTGGAAGACTCACATCAAGGTCAGCTTTCTCATTGGGAAGAACTGTTGCAGGTACACTTTTTGCCGGATCAGAATGATGAACTGCTTGTCCTGCGTTTAATCCTCCTCCCAAACCTGCACTGACTGTTTCTTCTTCTACCTCAACCAAATGATTCTTAAGTGAATCTTCCTCCTCATGATTACGATCACTCACGACCAAACTATCATTAGAACAATGAGATTCAGATGGCCCGGCTACTGAATTAGGTGGACAAGGAGAAGATACAGGAGGCAAAACACCAAGAGGAGGTGGACCCTTAGGGCCAAGTTCCTTAGGTTTATCCTTAAGGGCTTCAGCTTCATCAGCAACTACCACAGAGCTGCAGATAAAACAGAGTACGATAGTCAGAATACAAAGGACGTGGCGTACTGACATCATTACGTTTCACCGTTGGTGTTACTATCTCAATTTGGTGATCTAAACAAAACAAAAAAAAAAAAAGAGGCACCAAAAACATAAATAAAGAAAAGTTCAGAAAGAGAACAAAACGAAAAGGGTAATAGCAAACTAGGCATAACAGAAAGCTGTAACCATCTCTCAGATAGTGTCCAAATGAAAGAAACAAGCACACAATACCCATTAACAAACAGATAAGCCCAATTAACCCCTCAAAAAATGAAAAAAAAAAATTAAGAGAACGACCATCAAAAGCAGACAGCACAGAAATACATCAAAATGACTCTTCCTGTAGGACCAAGCACAATTACAAATATACTTATGTATTCTTTCTCATTTTTTCTCCGCACAAAACACTCCAACACACAACAATGCAGGAAAAAGCACACAGGGCCCAAGCAAAAAAAAATAAAAAAACACAAATTAAGAACAGGAACAACCGCACAAAAATAACTCACAGACCACTAAGTATGCTGATTTGTTCAAGCAATTAGGAATACCAATTGTATTAACTACTGTTTTTTTCTCAGCTCTGCACAACGCAGACTAGCACAAAAACTGTGCAGGACAAAGCACACAATGACCCAGCGAACCACAAGCAAATAAACAGTTATTAACCATTAACCCAACGTACCCTGTAAACACAGAAATATACACCGACTATGGGTGTAAGTTTATATGTGTGTATATACGCAATTACAAATATAAATTCATCTGTTATTATTATTTCTTTTCACTACAAAAAGCATTTCATCATCATCATCACAGTGCAAGCGCAGGTGCACACAGAGAGAGAGTCTCCAAGAACACACACACACACAATGGAGTAGCAATAATAATCATTATAGGATAAACACACAGAGAGCAAAAACACACACAAAACACATTAACAATAAGAAACACAATAAAAGAAGAATATCCCAACAGGT